CCATGTTCAGTGATCCCCCAGAATGCTGATTTCCACGCAAAGTTTCTTGACATTTAAATGCTGTCAACTAAAAAGAAAAATCCCCTGTGGAGGCCAAAGAAAACATATCTGCAAGCTTTCTCTGGCCTTGGGCTGCCTGCTTTGACCTCTGCTCTGGAGACTAATTCTCCCGATGTGAAAGGCTGGACAGTCATGTTTAGGTAATGGGCTGCTTCTTGAGATGGGGACGGGACGTGTGTTTTATGGTGATTCATCGTACTTTGCATATAGGTTAGAAGTTTTTGAGTGTAAAAGACTTCACAGTAAAAAGAAAACATGAAAAAGTCAATAGACACTTTGCTTTAGAATTGCCTTATTTTCTAGCCAGTGGGAAGTTTTCTTTTTCACCTGTGAATCTGAAACTTTCAAGTTACTTATCTTGGAAAAGGGAATGAAAGCCCCAAGTTAAAAAGGAGCCTCTTTGTACAAAGTTTGAGTTGAGGGAGTTTAGACTGTAACATCCCTGCCTTTCCAGGGCCCTCGTGATGGGAAGTGATATTGCGTATCCACCCTTGTATTGGGACAGGGGAGTGTCCTTGGTCTCCTCTCTTGTCAGACCAGACCCCTAGGTGATGTCAGCCCCATAACAGCACCTCGTGGCTGATGGCTCCCAGTTTTCTGCCTCCAGTCCTGGCACTTCTTCATCCTTACATTGATCTCTGCCTTGGACGTCTCCCTTAAATGTTCTGCTATCATTGAACTCCTGAACTTCATCCTGAAATGGGCCTCCTTTCCCGGTATTCTCTAGTCTATATGTCAGCCACCTTTGGCCTGTTGCCTGTTCTATGAAAAAGGTTTACTGGTGCCCTGTCCAGCACTAAGCCGCACAATTGAGTAGTTGTCACGGGGACCGTGTGGCCCGCAGAGCCTATGCTATGTACTGTCTGGCCCTTTACAGAAAGAGTTGCCGACACTTGCCCTAGTGCATTGTGTGCCCCAGTGCCCACTAGTGCACTGAATGTCACCACACCTCCTGGGTCACCTGTCAGGCAAATAAATGTTCAGAACTGCACAGAAATTCTTCTAAGCACCTACCAGGTACCTGTCTACTGTCAGTGTGAACATTTGTAAATCAGCCAGCTTGGATTTCACGTGGTCATTGGATACTCGCAGATGCACGGGCTGGAGTGGCCGCTTGAACCCCTGCCCAGCTGTTCCTTGAGGAAATTCATCAAAGTGTTCTGCTCTGCTAGATCTGGTGAGGGCTAGCATAGAGGGAGCCGGGCACAGGCACGGGGTCTCTGAGATGTGCTTGGGGCTCAGGGAAGGCTTCTCTGACATGTGACACTTGGGCAATCTTGCTAACAGGCAGGTAGAGATGCGGGGCGATAGAGAATTCCAAGAGGGAAGAAAAATTCTTAGGGGAGACCTAACACACTGGCAGTTTTATCCTTTAACTTAACATTTTTTGTCTATGGATTGGAAAAAGACAATATCTGATTCTTAGCAGCAGAAAAACTCTACCCAGCTTTTCTTTTTAAGTTAGGGAGTGAATGGCTGTGTATAGATCCACATGTTCTCAAGTCCAGAGTGACTGTGGTGTTTAACTCAGAAGCCGCTGGATGCATTTCCATCCAATAGAAGGAGTAGGCTGGTTCTTCAAAGCTTTAAAAAACTTTAAAAGCAGCACACTCAACTTGTTTTGCTTAGCGTAAACTCATGGCCCATCTTTCCCTAGAATGGACAGTTTCGTTGTAGGACGTTGAAAATCTCTTGAGGCATCATTTCCCACACCGTTACTTGTAAGTTCTTTAATTTTCATTATACTTTTTCATCTCCTCTTACAATCTTTTCAAAACTCTGACTGCTTTTGCATTTTTGGGCATGCTAGGATTCATAATACTCCCCAAACCACCACAAGATGGCAGGACACAAATATATGACCACCCATGACTGTGAAGAGCAACTGTTGGAGACAGGCAGCATTGATTGGCTTTGTTCTCATATGGGCAAGACCATCATTAGAAAGCTTCTGTGCCAGTTTGGGGGGATCACAGCTGGAGGACCACTGCAGTAGAATTTGGGGAGCCCTTCTATGCAGAAACCTGAGAAAATTGGTGCTTTAGGAAGACAAGTCTCGGGGAAGGTGGAGTGAGGATTGTGGAGGAAGAGAAAGAGGAGAAGGTGAAAGGAGACCAGTGAGGAAGCTCGTGCAACAGGGTAAGAGAGAGGACGACAGCCAGAGCGAAGACAATGGCACTGGAGACTCATTGGAAAAAGTATTTAACATCATACATAGTGTTGGGGACAAAGAAGAAAGAAAGAGACGAGTCGAGGAGATTCGGGTTATGGTTGGATGCTATTTACTGAAAAGGTAACAGTGGTTCTTCATTCTTCCATTGTTTTAAAACGCTTCTGTTTTTAAACTTATAGTTCCTATATCTACCTTTTTGCTGGCTTCCTCTTCCAATGACATGACTTTGTGTGTGTGTGTGTGTGTGTGTGTGTGTGTGTGAGTTTCAAGACCACCCTGTGTGAGTATCTGCGGATCTGTAAAGTGGTTTAAATCTGGGAGAGCTGCTGTCCTTCAGCTTTCCTTTTTCAGTTATTCTCTCCTATTTTCACATCAAAATGAATTTAGGTATCACTTCTTTTCTAGTTCTTAGAAAAATTCATTCATAATTTTGGTTGGTTTGGAGCTCATTCATCCAAATATTTATTGGGTTTGTGCTAGGGGCTAGGTCCTGAGGATACAAAAATAACTAAAACTCAGGCATTTATGGTTTAGTAAATCTGTGAACTAAGCCTTGGGGAGAATGGACATCTTTACAACATGACGCATCTCTTTATAGACACAAAGCTTTTATGTGGTTCGTAGGTTTTGTTGTTATTGTTGAGAATAGTGCCTAATTAGGTTAGCTGGTGAACATGGGTGATATTAATGTTTGTATATATTTATTTACTTTACAACGTATTTAACTCATATTGATAATTTTGTTACTTCTGTGAATTTCTATGTATATTATCTTGCTACGTTTTTATTTCTTCTTTTCCTATTATTTATTTCAGTGCCTTCTTTTTCATTCCTTCTTTAATTGGTTAGACTCTCCAAACAAATGTGTAGCATATATTTGTTTGTAGCAATATAGTATAAAGGGCATGTGATTGCCCCCCGATTGGGCATTCCAGAAAAGTGATGAGGAATGTGTAAGTCCTGCTGAAATGCAAATGTCTCATCTGAATGGTTCCCTATGCAAATCTACAGGCATTTTTTCCTCTCTTTTGGGCCACATCCCTTTTAGTATGCCTGATATTTGGACCTCACCCTGTGTCAGTCATAAGATTGGCAGGTGATCTTAAAGGCAGAATACTGAATTTCTTGTCATCCAACTCTACGGAGAAAATAGTGCAGTGGACTCAGATGAGGAAGGAATTGGAAGAGGAAGTTGAGAAATGGTGAGAGGAGTTTAAATGGTGCATATGTGGCAATATGTTCAGATAACTTCTAAAGAGGTGTTCAGAAGGTCACACGGCAGTGGACTTCTTTGGAGTCTTTGAATCTTAGAGCCATCTTTAGGAATAGAAACCTTGTTTCCCGCTGATTTAGATGGAGCTCTGACAACCCTCTCCCCAGAAACAATCATCTACAATCAGAAATTGGCATATCATTTCACGGACTTCCTAGACATCCTCAAGCCCACGGACAAGAACCCGAGGGTCAAAGAAAACCCATTTACGTGTGTGGGATCTCAAGAAGCCTACTCGTTATCAGAGATGCTTAGCTACAGTCCCTATGCTGGGAACTGGTCTCTAGAGATATGCTGTTTATGGACGTGTACGTCCCACGTCTCTGTGTGTGTTGTCCTCTAGCCTCCAAAACACACACTTGAGGTCAATATGAGAGCCTTCCCCCAAAACGCAGAAAAGCGATGGACCGCATATACTGCGGTATTCCCCTAAGATTAGTACCATATAGCCTAGGTGTGTAGTAGGCTATACCATCTAGGTTTGTGTAAGTGCACTCTATGATGTTCACATAACGACGAAATAACCTAAAGACACATTTCTCAGAATGTGTGCCTGTCATTAAGCGACGCATGACAATATATAGTGAGATCGTAGTGAGAAGATGGATCCTACATGACCACTAAAGAGAGCACACTAAGGAGATTCCGGGTCATTCAACCACTGTAATGTACAAATACAGAGAGCACACCACCGTGCATTTGCTCTGGAGCCTCCGATGCTGTCTGCACACAGTAGCTGACTATGCCGCAGTCAAACCAAGAGCTCAGGTGAAGCCAGCAGTGTCACCTGAGCTGTATCTCTTGGGCAGAAAGATCAGAAGGTACACGGGCCCTACAAACATTTGGGATCATATCTAAGAAATCTGAATTTAGTTGTCAGCTGGGGCCGCTGCTGGGAAAGGACAGCTTCCATCACCTGGACATCTTGAGAACTCCTGATCTGGTGGGAATTAGAGTTCAGGCAAAACTCCATTTATCAGGGGTGACTGGGGCATCATCGCAGACTGACAATCTAAGGAATGTGTCCAGCCTCACTCATCAGGCTGTCCTGATTCCTTAGAGCTTTAAATGACATCTCCTTCCTCTCGGATCAAAGCCGAAGTCCCTTGCATCGCACACTAGGCTTGGCAAGAGCTGGCTCCTTCTCCTTGTTCACTAGGTTCCAGCCGTACCAGCCTCCTTTCCATTTCTTGAAAACGTCAGGACCCTTCCTGCCTCCAGGCCTTTGCACACTCTGTGCCCTCTGCCAGGGGCTCAGAACGGCTTTGGCTAACCTAACTCCTCTTCGCCCTTCAGATAGCAACTCAGATGTCACTTCTTCTGGGAAATGTCTCCACACACCTAAAGGAAAAGTTTTCTTTAAGAAAAGTTTTCTTGTTAGTACCTATCGCTTGTCTCCACAGCAGTGAAGTATCTTTATCGGTGTCGTCCTCTTGCCTGTTTATGATCTGCCTCCACCCGCTAGCCTGTAATCTCTAAGAGGGAAGCAGCTGTCCAGGATGCTTCCTCTGCTGTGGTATCCCTACTGTTACACACAGTACTCGGAATACAAAAGTACTCAACAAATATTTGCAAAATGTCTGAATGAACCTTCAGAACACGCTTGCTCACGTTAAAACTAATCATCGATGAAACTGGAGCAGCTCAGTCCAACTCCACCCATTGCTGGCCCATAGCCAGGGCTCAATGAATATTTGTTGACCAACTGGCCAGTGTGGAAGGAAGTAATGGGAGATGTTGTCCAGACAGGCTTAGTGCCCTTGGTATCTCCTTTCCAGTCCACCTCCTCAGCCGCAAGCATCCCATAAACATCTGCATCCTATGGTCCTCTGGGATGCTCTGCAAATTCCGCCTCCAGGACACACCAGCTTTGTTTGGCTTTCTCCATGTTGCTGATTATCTACTTTAGTTCCCTTTCCTTCTCCTTGTATGCTTGGAGGACCTGACGATTCCATTGCTCTGTTCCTTCGCTCTGCACTCTGCCACTGGAAACAAGTCCGCCATCCTCTGGGACTCTGATGTCAGTTCTTTTCTCTGTGTTCTGAAGCCCTGGACTAGTCCCGTTTTCTTGCTCGACTGGTCTTTAGAGACCACAGTCCAGACCAGAGAGTTCAAACATCGCTCACAGGAGGGGAAGTCAGATGGTCATCATCTGCTGTGATTCCTATTGCTATTTTGGACATTTAAGTGGTCATCAATTAACTTATAAAACCAGAAAACAGACTGGCCTGCTTTATAAGTGTGCATCCAGGCAGAGCACTAAAGCCAGGCCTCTTCACCTGGCCAGATGGGCTTTTTGTGGATGGGTTACTTTGGCCATTGGCCGCTGCAGGCATTGGCCGGTTATCATCCTCCAAGTGGCCAAGTGTGGTGTTGGCTTCATTTCCCGACAGGGTCTTGGCTGTGTGAAGAATTGTGAAGTGCCAGGGAAACCAATGGTCGTGGCTTCCTGGGACCCGGGAAAGAGTTAGGGCTCCTGCCCCCATCACCT